ATGTTCCGAAGGGCTGGTGCCAACGGCAGAGAAGGCTCTTCTCCTGGGCCCCAACTAGCCGGATTCCAATGGGGCCCACAACATGCCTCCCCTGCTTGGCACAAAATCAATTAGTTTAATTAATTACACTAATTTAGAACTGAGGAAGCTTCTTGGATGATAAGTGAAATGTTTTCAAAGAAAAAAACAACAAGAAAGTCCAGTTACTTTCTGGAAAAAGTACCTTTGGAATAACTTGTGTAGAAGGGAGAAGTTTGGCAAGGGCAGAGAATCCTGCGTTCCTGTTACTGGAGGGTTAAAACATATGCCCGAAAGCTTCCCATTATGTGCATTAGGAAATTTCTGATTCCTGCCATATAACCCCAAGCAATCTTAATAGATTGAAACTAATACAAGGATGTTTGCAAAGGTTATTTTTCTTGCAGGAAAGCCACTGGGCTTTTGCTATACGTGGAACAAATTCGACTGATAAAGGGTTTCCACAACGTGCAGGTTTTATGAAAGGATGACAGGAGAATCTGCATTCATGGTTTTGCTGCTTTTTATGCAGCTCTAAATGCCTGAAAGTGTGAGACTAGAAATTAAAATGCAGCCCTTTGACTTTAAGCAGAACAAAAGCTCAAATATTTTTCACATATAATCTTAGAACTTATTTTCCTGTTTAAGGTATTAGATTTCTTTTCCTGTTTAAGTTATAGAATAAATAGGGGCAGATTTTTCCTTGAAAGAAACATTTCTTATAAACTGGGAATATTTATTCATTTATTTAGATTTTTACGGCCGCCCATCCCAACAAAATTTTCTGGGCAGAGTACATTATCAAACAAAAACAATTAGAATGATCTATCTCCATGAAAATTTCTAATAATTTCTGTTTGGCTGCTGCTCTCCTTTTAAAATCACATCAGAATTGTGGTTCACTTCCTTTTCAAAAATAAAGAACATTGAATTATTGTAGAGAATATGATTTCATTATAAATGGGTTATGGAATACGAAACAGTTATATCTGGGACAGATGACAATGTAAGAAACTCTAAAGATTAGACATTTTGAATTCAGGAACTTTAATATGTTATTTGGCTCTTAGAGGCAAAGAAATACTTTCCAGTGACAACTTTCTTTTTAAAAGTCATGCTAGGCTGCCTGAGATGATAGCTATCAGGACCTAATCAGTGTCATTTTATCAGAATATATAAAACATAGCCTTTGAGCCTCAAAAGTTGTGTATTAGGAAAAAATTAAATGGTTCTCCAAACCAAATGGCACTCAACATTACAAACATCTGTCTTTAATCGAAGAGCCTGTAACTCCCTCTGGAAGGAAGTATAGATTTCTTCAAACAGAATTGCATGATTTAGTTATTAAATGGTAACCATTCCTGAAGTTAATGAATTTAGAATGAAATCTTGATAACCATACAGTATTTTTCTATAAGCAGTCAAAGAAATACAACAATTTATATTTCTTATATATATTTATTAGCTTCATTTAGCATCTTCCAAGGGGAATGTAAGAAATAATTTTGCTCCATAAGTAGTTGTGTAGTTAATTCTCCACTTTAAACTCCTAATTCTAAAATGACTGTTGTGATGGTGAGTGGAGGATTAATAGAGACAATGTTGTCTCGGAAACATTTGTCTGTCTATTCGAGTGATGCACAGGGCATTAAGGATAAGCCCAAGCATTTGCCTTTGTTAGAGCTGCTCAGATTCCAATCATCTTATTTATATTTTGCTTAAAACAGACAATCCCAGAGCTCTAAGGATTGTAATAATTGCATCAAAGCATCAGATAAAGCAACTGCCAGCCAATGAAGCTTCCATACTTTCATGATGCCACTCACAACTTAGGTGCTAATACTTCTTTTAGTTTGTAGGTTCCCATTGGGTAAATAGCTATGAATAGGAGTGATCTGGGACCTTGGTGAATTATAACATTGCTTTAATTTTTTATTAGTGCTTATCTCGCTTTGTTTTATTTAAATCCTCAAACAATAAAAGCAAATCAGAAATCACTGCCAATGTGAAAGAAATTGGTCAAAGGATATTTCTTAACCATGAAATCAAAATGTATTTTTATTTATTTATTTTCTAGATGAGCAATTTCACCTTAAGAACCTGACAGAAAAAGATACTGAAGAGAATGCTGAGATCATATTACAGGTAACGAAAGCAAAATCCATCTCTTTAGCAGAAAAATGAGGAAATCCAGTACTGCTCTCCAATGTGGGATTATTGCTCCTTATTGCTCCTCTAGTGTTTATGGATTTTTGCCTCCAAATAGTTTGCTGCTATCATTGGATTATCAAGTTTATATTAATTACTATTCAGATGATTCTTCCTCATTTCCTAGTTCTGCAAGATGTGATAGGGTTGTTGTTCTTTAACAGAAATAATTTTGCTTGACAGCACTGGGTTTATTTAAGCTTTGTATGGCTAGGGATCTCAAGTTAACTGTTATTTAAATTAAGGCACTTAAGTTTCAGATGAGATAACTTCCAAAACATTAGGAGAGGTCTCTCCAGCTTTATCTCACATTAGATCCAGGTTCATAAATAGTGCAATTGGCAGATCACAGACCTGTGCTGTTAGATGGGTTGATAGGTGACTAAAACCTCTCCACCCCACTCCTCATTCAAAGCATCACAATACTTGGAACACACACACACACACACACA